ATTTGCTGAAGGGTTACGGGGAAAAGTAACAGTTCAAGTTCTTGAGGGTTATTTTATTTAACAGTTGTGGAATGGGAAAGTGAGAGATGGAAGAGATTAGCTCTTAGCTAAGGTTTGACAAAATCAAAGGCAGTGTTCAGGTAGTTAAGCAGAGTACTTTTCCCTTGCTTGTCCATCTTTCCTGACTTCTGCAGTTTTTATGCTTTTGTCTCCCTGCTGTAAAATGAAGGCTGTTTCAGCCTCCAGCTGTACCTGATCCTGATTCACCCTACCTTGGGTTTATACTAAGTGTGCTGACCTTGGTGTTGCCGCGATTGCTGTCCATACTGCAGTACCTGGAGTACCCATAAAGTAAGCCTGGAAAAAAAATCTGTTACTTTTTTACTGCTTAATTACAAAATCACAACATTTACTATATGAACATGTGTGTCAGTCCTTCCTTATTCATGAACTAGCTCAGTGATGACAGCTCATTTTTTTTAGATGGGAGGGCTAAAATCTATCATTAGCTTGACAGTGAAAATATTATGATTGAGTAAAGCATTATATCACAATATCTCCTCAGTGGCATAATTAACAACAATGTAGGGCAAACTATTACACAGCTGAATTTGTGATCATGTTGAATGCTGTTTCAAGTCTGCTCTGCTCTATGGGGTTCATACCCTGTTACCTCTAATTACCAAACATAGTAAACAAAAAAGTTGCAACCAAAAACCATTTAACTTACGGTTCTGTCATCTGTCATTTTGAGTAATAATTTGATTGGAAAATTTGTGCTTAGTCTGTCTATGGTTAGTTTCCACTCCAAAAGCATTTTGGGAAAAAGATAATAGAGAAAATAGTACAACCTGCTGTATAAACTGTATTTCATGTGTGCCTCCGCAATCAAAAAAGAGATCAAATCTAGGGGGCATATAATCATCTGACACAACTGCATGAATCTACAGTCTGGGCTAGAAAGAAATCAGCCCCAGCCTCACTTTTCTCATGACCAGTGGTGATGATGTTGCGCTTTGTTCCACAAAAGTCCAGACTAACACATTTTAAGACAATTCTTTAACAGCAAATAATGTATGTGGATGCCAGAAACCTTATCATTAGGCTATTTAAGTAACTTTGGGACAATTCAAAATTTGCAGAGCAAAGCCAACACCACTAACTAGTTGCTTTGAGTTCACATGGTCCAAATGAAACCAGTTTCCTAGTGTGATGTTATGATGATAATCTCACAGGAGTCTGATCCATTCAAACACACAGCAAAGTCATATGCTAAGAAGAGTAGTTGTTAAGGCCTAACATTTCAGAACACTGTATTATAAACTGTACGTTTCATACCACATGTGAAAATGGTAACAATATATATATTTCATTATTATTAATAATAATATCCTGTGTTAGGGATTAGTTTAGAATTGGGGGTGCTTGAAATGAATATTCAAAAGAGTCTCAAACTTACGTTATAGTCTAGAATTTGAGTTAACTTTGTTTCCCAACAGACTTTTCATAATGTAAATGATTATTAATACTGTCATGAGTCATGATATTAATTAATAGAATGAGTTAACAAGATGTTAATATTTAACTAACCATCATTAATGGCTGATTATATAAGACTCAGAGGCTGTTAATGTATATGCTTCATTATTTCCTGATGTACTAAAGATTAGTACATGGATTAATTCATCATTATGAAAGCATTAGTTAAGTGTTATACAGCAGTTACAACAGTCAGTTATATTATAAAACAGAATACAACAGTTAGTTCCAGTCCACTAATTTGACTGGCAAAGTGGTGTTCCAAGAGCGCCTATATTTCCTAGAACCTCACTGGGATGTTTCACGGTGTGTATCACTCCGCTCGTCTGTGTTCGCCACATAAAATTCCACTTTCATCATCAGAAGGCAGGTCAAATGATACTTTCCAGTTCGTATAACTTTTGGCTTAAAATATGAAAGCTTGTCAGATGAAGATGAAAAGGAAGAAGGGATGCCAATTTTATCTGAAGCACCTTTAACAGGAATGTACAAATCAATGTGAGCTAGCTAGCCATCTAGCCAAGGTGCTATAAAGTGAGTGTGGCTTCTTCAGGATCTATTTCCGCTAGTGGAAAAATAAACAGAACATTTGGCCATATTTTTTCTGAAATGTCACTTACTCAATATCGATTTCTTGTTTATAGAAATGTTGTATAAAAGCAATATTGCATTCGCATTCGTGTGGTTATACTGAATATCGGCACGGCAGTGATAACCAACAGCCGAATCACAGCTGTGTTGATATTCAGTATAACCGCACTCTTGCTTGTGTGATATTTGTTAAATATAGTGCTTATTTGTGGACCTTATACTATAGTGTTACCTGTTTCAGGGGCGGACTCAGCACTAGGCAAAGGTAGGCAACTGCCTTGGGCCCCCAGAAGCCAAGGGCCCCCTAAAAATGCAAATTATATATATTTTTAATTATTAATGCTAAATAATTCCTGTATTCCTATATTTTACCTAGGGCCCCCAAACCTCCCCTGACCTGTTTATTTGAGCCCTGTCTCCAAAAAGATGTCTGTACGTGGGCCAGTAAACAGTTGTTTTGTTGCTAACTTGTATGTGTATGCCTTTTTCTATTCACTGAATATGAAATGATCTGCCAGCCGCTGTTCCTGCTACCTAGAGCTGTTTTTCTCTGTTTGGAATCTGCCTGCATTGTTTTTGACACTTTCACCCTTTATACGCTATTTTCATTTATGTAGTTAACATGTAATTTATTCGTAATTTATGCAGCTAACATTTCTATATTGATAGCAAAATAAATGGTGGTTTTCTAATCAAGACTGTGTCTTGCTTTTTTAAAAATAAGATTTAGTTACAGCAAAATTTGAATAATTTCCCATTTCTATTGTTATCTAATTAGATGCCTGTATGCATCTAGATGCCAAGCAATTACAGAAAATTAGCAGTGAGCAGAGTTTTGATGCAAATAGTTTGGAAACAGATAGCCATTGTGTTGTAGTTGTTGTTGTTGTTATACTCTGAGGGCTGGAGAAAGCCGAAGTCTCCCTCGTGATGTGTGATGATGAGTGAAACCAGAGAAGGAGGGAGAAATAATGTTTTCCTCTCACACAGCAGCCAGGTGTTTTTCTAATAGGAACAGATTGATGCACAATTACGCTGAGCCAATATGTAGAAGAGATTTCATCACTGACGTTCCATGCAGGCACTCGCTGCCACACATACAATCTCGATCATGCATTCTCATGCCTATTAGGGAATGTTCATGGCATATGTGTGCACTTTTTTATTTTCAGTTTTGAGGGGGATTTTTTTTTTTTGTACAAAGTCTATGGCTCTTCCTTAGTTCATCTACCCCCAGAAGAAAATTGCATTTCTGGAACAATGTTGACTGAATCTGAAGACAGTGAATTGTGCTAGTGATCATGCCAGATGCCCTGGGCTCAACTGATACACTAAAGTACCAGGATCATCTGCTTATCCTGATCAAATGAGCGTAAAATCATTAACAGACTAGAAAAGTGCTTGAGCATAATTTGATACACAAGAAAACATCCTTTGCCACAAGCTTCAAACTGAATCTTGTTTTTTTCTTTTCTTTTCTTTTTTTTCAAAAGAGTTTAATATATACTTATTTCTAAAAGAAGTTTACTTGCTTGATGAACGCAACACGTGTGGTCCACCACCACCATCTTTAATGTTATCTTATGTTGTATATGTCTACAAGAAAAAAAAAAGTTCATTTTATATCAGATCAGATTATTCAAAGACCCTCACAGATCATCTATGTGATTTTGGAAAGCTTCAAAAAAAAAGTTTTCACATCCTTCTAGCCATCATTGATTTCAACCCTCATAATCAACCGATGATTACAACTGCAAGGTTTTAAAATTGTTTTCATAGAGAATAAAGGACTGGATGTACCACACTGTAATTTGTCAATTCTGTTTAGTGTAACACGTAAGCTTTTGATTTGAGAAGTTAATACTCCGTAGAAATTTAGGTACTTGTCCATAGCCGCAATTGTGTATTGCTCATGAATATAATGAATAGTACACCATTTGAGACATAGGCATGTGATATGATAGGCAGAGCTTATCATAGCTCTGAGCTTCATCTCTTCCCTGGCATTTTCCACTCATTTGCAACAGTTTCTTGCTTATTAATAAATTAAAGGACACTTATGTACTTCCTGGATATCTTTTGTGTGCTTGCAGCATGAATATTAAGTTCTCCGCTTCCCTGGTTTCCTCTTGTTTCTAGTTGTAGTACTTCCATGTGCCTGCATGTTTCTGTGTGAAAAGTTGTAGTACTTCCATTGCCTGCATGTTTCTGTGTGATAAACACAGTCTGCCTGTATTCCTGGAAAAGCTTGGAAACACCCCCCCTACCCCCCATCCCTGAAAAAAAAAACAAAAAAACTACTCAGCATTTGCTTCTACCAACTCTGACTCCTCAATGTTCCATGCTTGACTACATATTTAATTAATTTGCACAAGGGACAATTGACAGACCCCTAAAAGACTCAAGTTTACTTGCTTGATGAAAGCATCACTTGTGGTCCACCACCACCACCATGTTTAATGTTATCTCATGTTGTATATGTCTACAAGAAAAAAATGTTGATTTTAGATCAGATCAGATTATTCGAAGACCCTCACAGATCATCTACATGATTTTGGAAAGCTTAAGAAAAAGTTTTCACATCCTTCAAGCCATCATTGATTTCAACCCTTGTAATCAACTGATGATTACAACTGCAAGATTTTAAAATTGGTGGTTGTTTTAATAGAGAATAAAGGACTGGATGTTGTTGTTGTTCTTTCAGCTGATCCCGTTAGGGATTGCCACAGCGGATCATTGGTCTGCACATTTGATTTGGCACAGTTTCTTTGCCGGATGCCCTTCCTGACGCAACCCTACCCAATTTTATCTGGGCTTGGGACCGGCACTGGGAGTGCACTGTTTTGTGCAACTCCAGTGGCTGGGGTTGGTTCCCTGCCTGGGAATCGGACCCAGGCCGCGTCTGTGAGAGTGCTGAGGTCTAACCACTTGTCCTCCAGGGATCCAATAAAGGACTGGATGTACCACACTGTAATTTGTCAATTCTGTTTAGTGCAACATGCAAGCTTTTGATTTGAGAAGTTACTATTCCGTAGAAATTTCGGTACTTGTCCATAGCAGCAATTGTGTATTGTTTATGAATGTAATGAATAGTACACCATTTGAGACATAGGCATGTGATATGTTAGGCAGAGCTTATCATAGCTCTGAGCTTCATCTCTTCCCTGGCATTTTCCACTCATTTGCAATCGTTTCTTGCTTATTAATAAATTAAAAGATACTTATGTACTTCCTGGATATCTTTTGTGCATGCAGCATTAATATTAAGTTCTCCGCTTCCCTGGTTTCCTTTTGTTTCTAGTTGTAGTACATCCATGTGCTACCATTGCCTGCATGTTTCTGTGTGATAAACACAGTCTGCCTGTATACCTGGAAAAGATTGGAAACCCCCCCAACACACACACAAAAAAGCTATGGAGCACTTGCATTCTACCACCTTTGACCCCTCAACATTTCATGCTTGATTACACATTTAATTAATTTCCACAAGGAACAAATGACTGACCCTTAAAAGACATGAGCAGCAGCTCATGACCATAGATTTTGGAGGGGCAGGGCAACATTAATAACGACATAGCTTCAATAGTAACCTCATAATAGGCAATTGAGAGTCAACAGCATACAGTCACCCAGCATACAGTCTAGCAGCTCATTTTGAGAAGGTTTAGATGTACCTTTGTTTGATACAGCAGGCACGTAACCATTGCCATTCTCACACTGTGTGAAATAAACACAGTAGAGCTAATAAAATTAACCAGGTTTGTCAGGTTTCAGCAAAATTTCTAGCCCAACTTTATCTAAAAAAACATGCACAAAAGACTTGAAATAATTCAGGCATTGGAAAAGTGATCATTTTTAATGTCTGGACATTATCCACTTATCCATCTTTTATCCATCTGTTATATTGCAAAGAGTATCCATCTTTGCAATATATCTTACAATAGAAATTGTTCTATACATAATAAACAAACTGTATGCACTTACACTTTGCCTTTGCTTGCAGATTTCATTCTGATTATTTGCTGTAAAACAAGATCTTGGTGGCCACAGAGTATTTAAACTAGCCAAATATGGAGTAAAAAATGCAACCATGGCAACCCTGTCATTAACTTTCCTGTGCTCTCCTCCTCCACTGAAAATGTTCATAGAGTGAACACGAGGCAGTGTAATTCCTGCCCCAATGGGCCTCTGTTAACACGTGTTGCATTTTTGACCACTAGGGGCAATAATAAGTCTATGGCACTAAATGCCCAACGATTGTGCAACATCTAGAAAGGCAACCAAATCAGCGGAACATCAGTTTATATATGTCATTTTATATCATTAGTAATTAGTATTTCAATGGAATTTAAAATGTGTGTTGTGAATGAGGACATTATGAAGACTCCCTCTAATGTAAACCATAAAAGAGCTGGAAAAATATACAAAGATATTTTAAATCAGGACAAAGACTGATATATATCCACAGTGCTCTCTCTACATGTGTGTTAGCTTTCAATATGCACTAATTTTAGTTGTTGCCTTACCCACAAACTGACTCATTCACTACCTCACAAACCTGGTGTTCAAGCGTCTGCATGGTTAAAAGCATCTTTGTGTAGTGCCTGGTGTGCCTGTATGGCATGAGCTCAGAAAGAGAGAGAGAGAGAGAGAGAGAGAGAGAGAGAGAGAGAGATGCATGTGGGACTGATCCGTGATTCACCCCATCATGTAGCCCAGCCAAATGCACCGCTAACTCCTTCCCGCCGTGGCTTTCAGCTACGTAGACGAGGACAGTTGTATAATGACAAAGAGCAGCAGTAATACACAGGGTGTCAAATCAAGAACAAGAGTAAGAGACTAATGAGAGATTCTCGAATTGAGGATCATATCAAAGCGTGTCCTTTTCTCATCTGTGCAATCAATAGACAGAGCACTGTGCGGAAGTGTCATTAGGAATAGCAGATCATTTGGTAATACTGTTTGCAGGACTGACATTCTGCATGTATCTGCATGTCCTACTGCTAAGAATACAAAATGTCTTATTTCAAAAATTGCAATTTTACTAATTCCAAACTTTGGCATAACTACATGGGAAATCATGTGCGCCTCTCATGTCCCTCAGTTATTAAAATCAAAAGTGTGTGCATGTTTCCTAGTGGAATACAAACATTTCTGAATTACTTTTTTTCCTCATGAGAGAAAAAAGCAAGCTGACAAGCAAATAGGCTTTATTCCCAAGGAATAAATTATGAGACTGCTGATTTCCTGACATCATATCTACATTTTTTTGGTTTAAAATGAAAATGCATGTTATTTATTTGCCATATACTGTATTTGCCACAGTGCCATAAGAATTTGTATATAGCATATAACAGGTGATAGATGCCAGGAAATACAGCAAAAATGGTCTTAGACTAAAATGGTCAATTTTCAGATGTTTGGATATTTTTTTATTACTAATAACATTCATATTTTTACAACATGTAAAACAAAATGGCCAATTACAGACATAAAGGACTGTACTGGTTCCTAACATTATAATGATCTGAATCTTATCATCTCTCATGTCTTAAAGCCAGACTTTGATATAGCGTTTTTCTTAATACAACATTGAATACTTTTAATTACATTTTATTTAAAAAATATATTTTTTTTTAAAAGAGGTTCTATTAAACAGTACCATTAAATACTATTTAATAGAATTCTGATAAACCGTTTTGTAAATGTTGCATAATTTAGTTCATTTCACATGATTTTCTTAAGTATATTGTACTAAAAAAATCTTTAAAATTATTTCAAAAATTTGTGTAGAAAAAAAGGGAGATACCACATATTTACAATGTGGTTAAGTTTTATTTTTATATGAGTAAAGAAATATAAGACTTTAAGATTTCATGACCTTAGTATCCTCCATTCATTCTTATCCTTATAGAACCTTACAATGCTAAGGTCATGGTTTGTTTTGGGCTTGTGGAAATGTGACATGACTACAGTACAGACTCTTAGCCTGTGACAGGGTCAATATTAGCTAGTATCTCAGGAAGAGATTCTATATTTGAATGGTTGGCGTGAAGTTGCTAAGATTGATTCATTGTGTCTCAGGAGTCTCACACAATCGCTCCAAAGAAGACAGATCTGAGACCACAACATGCAGAGCTTCGCTCGCTCAACAGCATGGAAAAGGCAGAAGGTTTTCTGGCGGATATAATATGTAAGCTGTCCAAATTTGCGTAAATGCTACGATTAGTTACCGAAGAGTTTCTTTTTCGTCGGTCTGTGGGTTCAACTGTGCTGCAGAGACTCACGCCAGGCTTTGACACAAGAGAGCCTGTGGGGAAATTGGCTTACTTACATTGAAGTTGAGCTGTGCTTTTATGGAAATCACTCTTGTAGATATGACTACACAGTGCGAAAAAGAAAAGAATAAACAATGACACAAATATCCAGCCTGTTCTAGTATGCTAGAAATATCCAGCCTCAGTGCCTCAGTTCAGTGAGAACATCCCTGCAGTATTTATATAGCAGTTAAAAAATATTCAGAATTAGAGAAAAAAACCATTGTGTTTGTAGCTCAAAGCCCAGGTGCAGCATTAAATGTGCAGGCATGTGATCATTTCTTCTGCGTGTGTGTTCATGGAGGGTCTTTATCCATCAATAGCCAATAATTACGCTATTATCTCTAATAACACCATTTAGGGAGATGCGCATTGGGCTATGTCAAAACTTTACACCTGGAAGGAACCTACCTATAAGGCAGCGGGCCCACACACACACACACACACACACACACACACACACAAAAGTTTTCCATTTGAGAACCAGCTAAATGTTCCCACAAAGTAAAATCTTTAAGATTTTCTTATCCTTGTGGGGACATTTTGTCTCACTAGCCTTCTGAGAACTCACACACACACACACACACACACACACACACACCTTTTGACCTTCCAGCTAATAAATCCATTGTCTAGACCTAAGCTTTTGAAATAAAAGCTACAGCTTTTGTAAAAAGTAGTTTTTCTTGTAGGGACCAACCATATACAGTATAAGGTCAAAACTTACACACACACACACACACACACACAAACCGGTGTCTTACTATCCTTGTGTGGATACTACACCTTCCCTGTGTGTGTATGTGTGTGTGTGTGTATTCCTATCTTTGTGGGAACCTTTAGTCTTTGCCAAGTTATAAAAGCATGCCTGCCCACGTGCGCGCGCGCACACACACACACACACACACACACACATTTTACAAATGTATTGGGCCAATGGGACATCTGTTATGCTTGAATACAACGTGGCCACATGCTCACAGACAGTGCACAGTAAATAATTTACACTAAAACATTTTATATAGATGAGTGTTTTTGTGTCCACTCAAAATTCCAACCCCTTCAAATTCTTATTAACTAATAATAACTCCATGCAAGTAATGAAATTAAACTGGATGGCTGGCCCAGAGAAAATGTTACATATTTAATTTAAAAGGCTGTTTTAATCTTTGATGCTCCTTAACTTAGCAAAATTCCAGGGGTGTTAAGTACTTGAGTAATTGTACTGTGTTACTGTACTTGCATATTATTTTGGAAGATTTGCAGATACTCAAGTAAATTAAGAGAAAAAAAACATACTTTTTGCACCTTATATTTTCATTTTGACCTTTGAACTTCTTTCTACAAATGTTACATGCCATGATACATTTAGTTTTTTTTTTTTTCTTCGTAAAACATCTTTTGCTGGAGTTACTGATTCAGGATGGATATTTACTTTGCCTTAGCACATAAAAATAAAATATTCACCTTTAAGTTTGTTAAATTATCTAGTTAATTTTTGTAATATAGCTATTTTATATTAGCTAGCTAGTTACGTTTTGTTTTCATTGCTAATATGTCTTAGCATTCATTCCAATGAGGTTATTAAATATTAGCTAATCCGCAAGCCAAATTCTAGGTTTGTC